CTACTTTTCAAGATTGCAATTCAAAAATAAGTGCATGAAGTTTACAATTCAAAATTCAGGTGGTATTATCTATTTATAAATTAATAAAAAAACTTATTATGCCAACCGTTCATTTATGAGATTTAATCTGCACCATTTAGGTCTCTCCATCATTCAAACCACATATCTCTCTCTCCAGTCGCTACCATACCCAAATTGGAACAGCAAACCCTCACGTCTCTCTCTCTATACAATACAAACCCTCGCGTCTCTCTCTTCCTCCCACAGAACTCAGGCCTCTCTGTTTCTCAGCCATTTTCAATCGGCGACTTTATGATCGGATATTCATCTTGAAATAGACTAGGTAGCAGCTCCCACCCTTCAAATTTGCTAGACTCCATACAAAGATCGAATATATATGATTTAAAGCCTTACCAACTTCACAGTTCCTAGATCTACGACTGAATAGTATCAAAGTCTGTTTAAGAGGCTTCATCATTGCCTCATTGAAGACACCGTGCAACTATAATTTAAAGTTTGAGGATTAATTTACTTCTTTTTAAAGATTAAAGACCCATTATTCTTTACGTCATCCTTACGAAGTCACGAACAATTTTCGATGTAAAGTTACAATATTTAGCCCTTGATTGATATAGATTAAAATTTGATTTTAATCAAAATCAATATTAATTTTAACTACATATTTAGTTAGATCTACAACTTATCAATCATATATTTTATTAACTTCTATCAAAATTTATTAAAAAAATTAATTTTAATCTACACAAACCAGATGCTTAATACTATGAGAAAATTACCTAATACCCTACTTTTCAAGATTGCAATTCAAAAATAAGTGCATGAAGTTTACAATTCAAAATTCAGGTGGTATTATCTATTTATAAATTAATAAAAAAAACTTATTATGCCAACCGTTCATTTATGAGATTTAATCTGCACCATTTAGGTCTCTCCATCATTCAAACCACATATCTCTCTCTCTCTCTCTCTCTCTCTCTCTCTCTCTCTCCAGTCGCTACCATACCCAAATTGGAACAGCAAACCCTCACGTCTCTCTCTTTATACAATACAAACCCTCGCGTCTCTCTCTTCCTCCCACAGAACTCAGGCCTCTCTGTTTCTCAGCCATTTTCAATCGGCGACTTTATCATCGGATATTCATCTTTCGGATATTCATCTTGAAATAGACATCCTACATTTTGTTTCAAATGGGTAGAGCCCGTAGGGCTACTCGTAGTGTTGATGTGAAAATGAAGGAGAAGGAAAGAGGGATAGAGGAAAAAGATTGTCGGAGGTTCTTCTTCATCAAAGAGAGTCAAAATTTCGGCCTCTGGCGGGAAATCCATAAAAAAGGTAAAATCTGATTTTATTACCTGAATTTGTGAGTTTGGTGACCCCATTTTGGGTGTTCTTCTACCAAAATATCGTATTGTGACCTATTCTGCCAATTTCGTAATCTGAAGGTTTTATAATAATACTCATATATAACATTAAGCGTCTGAAGCTAACCTTGTAATGTTTTATAATAATACTCGAGATCTGCCTATGCTTGATAGACGGTCATAATGACTAATGAGCAATGATTGGTAGTATACAATTGATGAGATTCAGCTGACACCTCCATCTATTAACACATAAATGTGGAAGAGCCATGGTAGATGCCTCTCCAATTGTTGATGAACAGTATCTTAATTGTTTTTGCGCCCTCATATGCAAAAAGTTTTCAATACTACTATAATGAGCTTGGCCGTGATTTAAATTTTTAATGAGGTGGAACCCTTTTACATGACATGATATCAAGATAACATGTTGGAAGAGAGAGGTAGACCAAAACTAAGGTGACTTGTTGTGGTTGCTAAGAATTTAGTTGCTTTGAATCTTCAAGTAGCTCTAGTAATGAACTCAATGGAGTGGTACAAAAGGATTTGTGTTTCTAACCTCAAACTTATTGAGAAGGAATAGTTTGTTGTTGTTTTGGAATCCTTTTACCAGATACGTACAAAGTAATTATATGCAATAGTACTTATATCTTTATTTTATACATCGGGATGCTGAGTTAATTTTTTTGCTAGTTGATCCAATTTCCTTACTGGGAACAATTTGCCTGTTGTGTGAATGACTAGTTTTGTCACTTAATGCTAAAAGCTATAAGACAGTAGTACTTTTCTTTACCAATCGACTTATTTTTTATAACATATGATAAAAATAAAGAAAATCAATAATGAAAATTCTAATATGTCTCTTATTTCTTTGGCCTAAATTGCATGTCTAGTTTAGGTATTCTAAAGTGTGTTGGATTGAATTTGAATATCTATACCATCATGTTTTAAAATATTACTTTGTGTTGGTAATTCTCCACTATTTACTTATGATCTGAGTATGGATGTTTTTGTCAATGTGAAATGGTTATGTGTTGGAAGTCATAGTAACATGAATGACATTACGATTGTCTAGGACCGGGAATATCTAATAAAACCAAGTGATTGGTTTCATGGGAAGATTACTACTACTACTACAATACAGGGTGTCATCACACAATACTGATGATATGGGTGACCTGTGTATTAACATTGTCAATGGTTTACCTCAACAAAAAAATGGGTAAGTTTCATTATGGGCATTACAAGTTTTGTTATTTTTCATTAATATAATATTTTGTAGTTACTTACGGTTCGTCTAATTTAAATATTACATGCATGATTGTGGTATTTTTGTCATAAAGTATGCACAGTATTTGTTACATAATGATCTTGCCAAAATGCCAATGTCATTTGATGCTACGAATGCCAGACTAGAAATTTCAGCATTTCTGTTCAAGAACAGACAACTGATGCAGGTTGGAAGGGGAAAATCAAAGTCAGATGATTGAACTATTGTTTGATGGAATTGTTTTCATGATAGATTAGGTTGATGGCTGTTGAAAGTTAGAGAAACATGTGTATTTTTTAGGATGTAGTCCATAGATGTTATTTTCATTTTTGTAATATGTTTTGGGAATGAATGTGAATTTATTTTTCTCAAGTAGCTAGTACAATGGAGGTGAAAGTATTGATCTTTTATGTGTGGTTTTGTTTATGTCATTTAAGTATTTTATGAAAGTAAAAGTTTATAGGTGCACGTTTTGAACAGGTCGCAAATGGTCACAAATTTCCACAAATGGTCACAATCGTCATAAATAGAGTCACAATCAATTTATGTTACACAGCTCTTCCCAAAAATGGTCACAATCATCGTTGAAGGTAAAAGTTTATAGGTGCATGTTTTGAACATGTTACAAATGGTCACAATCGTCATAATCAAAGTCACATCAATTTCTGTTACGCAGCCCTTCCCAAAAATGGTCATAATCATCGCCGAAGGTAAAAGTTTATAGGTGCACATTTTGAACAGGTCACAAATGGTCACAATCGTCACAAAACAAAGTCACAATCAATTTCTGTTACACAGCCCTTCCTAGAAATGGTCACAATCATCGTTGAAGGCAAAAGTTTATAGGTGCACGTTTTGAACAGGTCACAAATGGTCACAATCGTCATAAACAAAGTCACAATCAATTTCTGTTACACAATCCTTCCCAGAAATGGTCACAATCATCGTTGAAGGTAAAATTTTATAGGTGCACGTTTTGAACAGATCACAAATGGTCACAGTTGTCATAAACAAAGTCACAATCAATTTCTGTTACACTGTCCTCCCCAGAAATGGTCAGGGATGGTCACAATCATCATAAACAAAGTCACATTCAATTAAATGAAACAATTTGCAATTACAAAGAATATCCTCGTGTAAAAAAATCTACTTCGGATACCAGTGTCACATCTTCTTTAATGTTTTCTTTCTCAACAGTCACTACTGAGTCACAAATTTCTTGAGCTATTTGTTGTAAAGGAAACACACTAGCTGATGACTCCATGGAAGTAGTTGACGTCTCTGGGCATTGCAATGTATATTGTGGCTGCCACAAATCTGCACTGATAATATCAAGCATAATGGGATAACTCGATACAATCCCATCCAAAGATTTTAACCTCAAATACGTTAGGACATTATTATCGCTCAGAATCCGGACTAGAGGTAAACTAGAATCCAAAGAATACGTCATTGTCACAGCTACTTTTGCACAATTAAGCCCCGATTCTAAAATAATAAGTTCAACCAATTCATCGTACTTGCATGTATCATTCACTAGTATAAGTGATGTGTGACCTCCTTACAACAGACAAACGTGCAAAACTGTCATTCCTAATCGTACACAGAAAACATGTCACAACTAGTCACAAATAGTCACAACTGGTCACAAATAGTCACTGCTATCACATATATTCACATAACAGCAGGTTACATTCTATCAATGGTCAATGAGAAAACTCACGTTATTAAGTTATTACCTTCGAAATCAGATCACATAATTTCAATTTTTGTTTCACGATCCAATTCCTCTACAGCCAAGCTTCAACTTCTCTAGAAACTGAAAATCAGAAATATGTCGACAGGATTTTGACCTTATTCATTGATCGTGGATCGAGATCGAGGATTAACGTTGCTTAAAGGTTTACCTTCGAAATCGGACCACGGTAGTTCAGTTTTTGCTTCAGGAAGATCCGATTCTGCCACAACCAGCTTCAACTTCTCTAGAGCAATAAAAATCAGAAATATGTTTACGGGATTGTGACCTTGTTCTTTGATTGTGGCTCAAAATCGAGGAGAAACGTTGAATTATTGTGATTTGGGAGATTTATGGTGAGTTGGGTTTGTAGAGAGGAGGTCGCCGAGTTTGTAGAGAGGGAAAATCACGTTTGGTTGTGAGAGAGAAGAGAGAATTTTTTTTTTAAATACAGTACAGGAGATAATTCAAAGTTAGTATATATTATAGTATAATTATATATTTAATATTAAGATTTACCACCTGATTTATGAAAAGTTTTAGGAAGTTTGCCAAAATTGAAATATGTTCTTATAATGGGGTAATTATGTACTGTTCCCTAATACTATACATCATTTTAGCTTACAGCCCAATTCTTAACAGCCAGCCCAATGTCCACTATGTTGAAACAGCCCATTAATATTTGTCACATTTTCGTACTTTTCTTCTAGGGGGTTAATTATAATTTCTAACAAAGAATAATTTCATTACTTCTATCATTTCTAATGTTGACCTCGAAAAATGGCTCGGACACGTAGCCAACATGATAGGTCTTCAAGTCAACTCCTCCTGTACACGTAGCACACCGTTAGTGGCTTGTGGCCTTTCCCAGAGGGGATGGGAGCGGCCGCAAGCACTCCGACGGTCAAGTCAGTTATATATTCAACCGGTAAGGGATTCACTGGTGGTAGAACACTCCCCGGGAAGTGATCGACAAAGTGTCT